CAGTGACACACTGACACTGAGCGCACTGGAGCAGTGACCACACTGGCACTGCGTATCACTGGAGCGTTGAAAACACTGGAGCACCGACGTTTACTGATGTAGATAAGTCTGGTATATCAGTAAACGTCGGTGCTCCAGTGTCTTCAACGCTCCAGTAGTACGCAGTGTCAGTGTGTCACCGCAGACAGTGCGCTCAGTGGCAGTGTGTCACTGTAGACAGTTCGCTCAGTGTCAGTGTGTCACTGTAGACAGTTCGCTCAGTGTCAGTGTATCATTGCAGTCAGTGCGCTCAGTGTCAGTGCGTCACTGCAGACAGTGCGCTCAGTGTCAGTGTGTCACTGTCAGTAATTCACTGTTTTCACCGAAACTGCACATCCCTAGGTGAATTTGATATTTACTGTTAGCGAGTTTGAGATTATAATGTTCTAAATGTTGGAAATAAAACCTTTGCGCTACAATCTTAAAATTGCCGTATTTTTTATTGTCGGAAATGAAAATTTCACTGTTACTTTTTATCGCGATTTCTCTTAGTATAGAGTTGTCTTCCTGAACTAGAAAATTCTTTCTCGATTCAGAATTCTAATCGATGTGTAGTCATTCCCAAGTTCAAGAAAATGGTGCCGTAGATGTTATAAAACAGGAAAAAATATCGCTATTATGCCATCGCTTAAAACAATGGAAACAATGGCAAACAAGCAGTGGTCCACTGCTATCGGAAAAAACCAGGGTAATGAATTAGACTTAAAAATATGTTCAAACAATAAACTTTTATTTGTCCCGTTCGTAAAAAAACAGAATGGGACGAAAACTTGTTTTTAATATAAAAAAAATATAACATAGAGTCGGCATTGCTCTTTTGGTAAGATTTCTTTCATAAAACATCATGAGCGCGAATCCAAAAAAAAAACATAAATGTTCAATGAAAATTGGAGTTATTCTTATCAACGCACTACATTCTATAGTCAGTTCAAAACAAATATAAAATGGTGTAAAAAACAAATTGTTTCGTTATTTAATTATGACTTAAATTGGATTTTCGCTTCAAAAAGAAACGATCTGAAATTGAAACATGTTTGGCTATCTCATTGCGAAGAAAGTGTTTCTATAAAAAAAAAAGATCGACTTCCTTTGATACTCAATCAAGATATGTATATTTCCATTGGGTTTTCTATTCCGTATGTCAAAAAGAAAAGTACATTTTTAAATATAAATATAAATTTAATATTTTCTTCATAATTTTTACCCTTATAAAAACTAGTGCATTTTCGTTTTGATTAGATTGTTAAATCGATGAAAAATTTTTTCTTTCTGTCCTAGCCTTATATGTCATAAAATCAATTTCTATGATGGCACATGTATAAAAAGAAGCCATAAGTATACAATTTTTTTTCTTTACCATTCTGTCCTGTTGAGCTAAGAGAAGAAAAATTTCTTTTTTCTTTTTTCTTTTTTCTTAATAATTTTTAATCTCATAACAAACAAAAATGCGTTGGTTACTCGTAAGTCATGATGAAAATTCCATCTCGAAACAATGTGGAGATATATTAGAACTAGCTGGACAAATAGTTCTCTACAATTATCATCATGGTAAATCATCAATAGAAGAAATAAAAGATATAATTAATAATGATAAACCTGATCGAATTATTGTTATAATAAATGAAAAAATTTCTTCAAAACTTATTAATACAATCAATGATCATCTTTTAATTCCTCTCTATGTAGCACAAACTACAATGAATTCTTATTCACCTATACCTATACTTTTATTAACATGTACAACAAATGATAATAATTTAAATATAATTCAAAATGCAACTGATCAATTAGTTAATATTTATCCAAATATCGTCAAGTATATCGAATTTATTAGAAGTTTTAAAATAAACATAATTCATTTTTTTTTGTCTTCTAATATTTAGTGCAAAACTTCTGACACCAATTAGTGATGAAGATTTAAATGAAAATTATTTTGAATCATTATGG